CAGTGCCAGCAGTAGCAAAGCAATGCGCATGGCGTCGAAGACAAGAAACTTCGGAAATACCCTAAAACTCCACGGCTTGTGATTGAAGGAGTGGTTGGGGGTTCGGTCCTGGGGCTTCTCCTTGTGGCTTTTAGGGTCATGGAATCGAACATTAGATGGAAAGGTTTTTCATATGCATACACCTGAGGAGTGTTTCTCTGAGCAAACCCAAAGGGTCCCAAGTACCTATATAGTAGACTGTAGGATCAGGGAAATATCCCCCTTAACAGCACCTAGGCTAGGGGCTCAGGGGCTGACGGGTCGAGGACTGATTGTTGCGGGCTTGAGTCTGGGATGCGCGATCTGAGTTTAAAGCTCCTATCTTCAGGGAAGTATTGCCCTAAACCCTAAACCCTTTGGGAAAGGTACTCGTGTTCAGGCCAGGTGACGGTTTCGGGACCCCACAGAGTTTTGGAAGGCGTGGCTAATGTAGGGGCTTAAAAAAGGAATATATATATATAGATATATGTATATGTCTGATGTCTATATATATATATATGTATATATATATTTTTTTTTGGGGGGGGATATATTTTACTATAAACACAATAAGGGACCGCCCAAATAATGTAGGTAATTCTTTAGGCTTCTATATTAGGTCGACAAGACATGGGAGTCTGTCCCGTCATGATCAGGACCAGCGAGCAGGTACTGTACTTTACCTAGACACTCCACGCTACCCATGTGAATAAGCAAATGTATGTGTAAGTATATATATATATATATTATGGAGGATACCTATATATATATATATGGAAATAAAGGATGCTTTTGATAGCCTTCGGTCCTTTTCAAAAGCTCCACATGCCCCAAAATGCTTGTGCTGGGGTAGAAACCCTTTTAGGCCAAAGTATGAAGAAGTATATAGTATATAGCTACATGAACCACGACGTAACAAGCTCCATAAACACCAACAGTGCCCTTCGAGGTGCCCTTACGGTACCTTGAAGCCCTTTGGTGTCGAATCCTTCAAACTTCTGTAGCCGGGCTGCGCTTCTTGCATCTTAGATGTTGGGTTCGGTGAGAGGGTTTTTGGGGCTCAGGGCTTTTGGGTTTAGGGATTATATAGTGGGCTTGGACTTAGAGTTTGATTGCTGTAGGCCTCAAAGGTCTAGGGCTTGGGAAGACAAGAACAGACTAGAATACAATATAGAACATAATGGAATATACTATCATACGGTGTATAGCATTAGATAATATAACACAACATATCATAATACAATATAATGTGAAGTAATCTCACATATGACCCTCCAGCTAAACGAACCCGGCCATTGCATGCCCAACCATGCACTGCCAAATCCATGCCCACTCCAACATCCAAGCAGCAAGCCCTGCTACACACAAAAACCCAAAACCCTCAACCCCAAAACCCTAAACCCCAAAGCCAAAATCCCAAAACCCAAAGCCGCACCTAAACCCCTGAACCCGACATCCTAAGTGGTTTTGATGTACACTATGATGGCATAGCTAGATCGGGACCAGGAGGAGTAATACCACATTCATGTGGGCTTCTATGTTTTACCACCGACTCCGACCGACTCCCTGGCCTGAGAAAGGATTTCCAACCGCAGCGGCTTTAGGGCAAAGGTATGGAGTTTAGGGTTTAGGGTTAAGGGTTTAGGGCTAAGGTAGGGAGTTTAGGGTTTCGGGTTGTAAAGGGTTGTTTATACACGCTTTAGGGCTAACCAGGGTTGAACTTTAAACCCTCTGAAAAATACTGAAGGGCCCCTTGTAAACCCAAATAAGGAAATTAACAGATGTCCCGAAAGCCAACCTAGTAAAGTATAGGGTTTAGGGTTTAGGGATATATAAACCCTAAACCCCTATACCCTAAACCCTAAACCCTAAACCGTGGTAGATGGAGCCGCCGGGTTGAATTCCACCGCCCTCACAGCTCCGAAGCCTCGGCCCTTATCCTTATAAACCGATGAGGAATCTCCGGTTTAGGGCTTTCGGGTTTAGGGCTTTCGGGTTTAGGGCTTAGGGTTAAGGACTTTCGGGTTTAGGGCTTTCGGGTTTAGGGTTTACGGGTATGAAGAATTTTCCCGAAGGGTCCAAGTATTCATATGGTAGCTACTTTGTAGGTACTTCGGCCCCCAAAGTCTATACTGTACTATAACTTGGACCCTTTGGGTTTCGGGGCTTATTACATCGCACGACGTTTTTTGTGCTCTTTTGGGGGGGGGAGGTCTCGGGCCTTTCCTGTCGAACTAGGATGTTTCTTTGGGGGACCCTGTGCTATGCGCAGACTTCAGAAACCTCGGGAATAATGCGACCGACCGTTCAGATCCCTGAATCCTAAACACTCAACCCTAAACCCTAAACCCGAATCCCCTAAACCCTAAACCCTGAACCCGAATTCCCTAAGCCCTAAGCCCTAAGCCCTAAGCCCTAAACCCTAAACCCAAATTCCCAAAGCCCTAAACCCTAAACCCCTACGCCCTAAACCCTAAACCCTAAACCCGAAATCCCTACACCCTGAGCCCTATCAGCCGAAGTCCTCGATGTCTTTGGACTGCCACTCCTGCAAGTCGCTTCGACCTGCCAAGGGGTGCAAAAGGTTCAGGGTTTAGGGTTTAGGGTTTAGGGTTTAGGATTTAGGATTTAGGGTTTAGGGTTTAGGGTTCAGGGTTTAGGGTTGATCTAAGGGCTTTAGGAGGGACCCTTAATAGGCACCCTTGTAGGTTATCGGGGTTAATATGGAGACTACTTGGCTATATAAGGGGTATATAAGGACTGTACAATGGCTATTTAAGGTAATGGGATTAAGGGTCCCTATTAGGGTCCCTCCTAAAGTCCTTAGGTTCCAAGAGGCCACAAAAGCCCTGGAGCTAAGCAAACGCTACAATGAACTGTAAGCGGTTTAGGGTTTAGGGTTTAGGGCTAGGGGAACGTGTATATGTATACACACACACACATCAAAGATACGTTTTTGGGTCTGCGTCTGTTGAGGGAATCTGCCTCCTTGTTGAGGGAATATGCCTCATGTAAGGTCATAGTTGGAACGTCTGGCATCTACCCAGAGAACCCAACATGCCTTGAAATAAAGAATCTACCTTAACTTATAGGGGCCTTAATACTATGATTTAAGGTATAACCCTTAATTCAGTGCCAGCGACCTGTCCTATAGTGTAGTCAAGCACCACCCCGATGGATCGCAGGCAAGAGTCTGCTCTTTTTCTCTCCACTGCTTCCTTCTCCAAACAGCATGTTTGGCCAGCAAGCAATTTCCTCTGTAGGATCCACAGCAAAAGAACCATCTGGCTGGCTCTCTTTAGGGGATGGGTCATTGGGGCTACTATAGTATAGGGGACCTTGAGGGACTATCGTCATGTGGATCCATTCCCCCATTCCCTATGGTCCGAACTCGGATCCTAAGCCCAAGGCACTTAAAACCAACAACCCAATGTGAGACAGCGGTGAAACAGCGCGCCCGGGAGAGCCTACTAAAATCGTCGGCATCGCCAGGCATTGATGTTCAGGGTGAGGCTTATTATTGTTTCAGAGCTTTGGAGGCTGGGGTCAGTTAAGGGGTATCTGCCCAGAGAACCCAGTACCCCTTAAATAAGGAATACACCTTAAATTAGAGGGGCGATACTATTGTAATTTAAAGTATATTCCTTAATGAAGGGGTATTGGGCTCTCTGGGTGCGCTGCGCTCAGTCTTAATCATCAAGATGTACTACCCACTCAGCACCCTTCAGCTCGCACTGCAGGCACACGGTCAAGAATTGACGAAAGGGCTGGACGGGCAAAAGGAGCAGAGGAGGATGTCCTGCGCTGCAAGGAAGCAGGTAATGTAGGCGCCTTAATAGTTAGAATAGGGTTTGGGGGCCCATTATACCATAATTATAATAAGGAACCCCCAACTATGATGAGGAACCCCCCAGAATAGTATAGGCAAGGCCCCTATATTGGATGTGGAATGTTGGAATCCGCAGCTTCTATCGCTCAGGTGGTTCAAGCGTTTAGGGTTTAGGG